TACCCTCTGTTGCCTTTAAATTAGAAAAGGACTTTGTTTTCAGATCATATTTTATGGTGCTTAAAACTTGCTTGTATATATGAAGATAGATCCTAAGGCATATTAGCTTTTAGTTTCTCACTCCCTTCCTAGCTGATACTTTGCCACTTGAAGGAGCTTAATAATATAAATCAATTGAATGAAGGAATGACAAGGTAAGAATCACTATAGCCTTAAACACTGTTCTATTGTTTCTCCATTCATCCCATCACCCTGCTGTATAATTTTCTTCTTTAATGCCATACAATGTAGATGGGCCAACATTTTCAGGCAAAGCCCATACTTTGTTTTCTTCTACTACCTCACAGGCTTTATCAATTGACAACAGTGCCCCTAAAAATGCCCCTCTTTCTTCAGATTTCTCTTATTTTGAATCTAGTTATAGGTGTGCAGGCTGCAGACCACCCTCCCTGCACAGGCTTTGTAGGACATTCCTGACATAATGGTCTTGACCTGAAATGTCATCTAGGCAGGTTTGTACTGGCTCCCAGCCCAATGCGCACAGCAGGGAGAAATGACAGTGCTCCACTCAACACTTCACTAGTGAAGCTGTCATTAAAAGGGAAACACTTGCTACCCAGAGAGTCTTTATATTTCACTTTTCCACAGGGGTCTACTCTGGTCTTGTCAACTAATTGCTTTGGGGCTAAGTTTCGAGAAAAGTACATTGTCTTCCCATGTAACTATCAAGTAAAGAAGGAAATTTCCTTTGTATGATCCGACTCATCCACAAAACAGGCTCATGGAGGGTATAGAAACTCAGCTCTACTATAGAAAAGAAGAAATACACTAAGTTCAGCTGTTTTAGGGAAGAATAGGACAGGGGCAGACAATGTCATTGTGCACTTAGAAGACTGCAGTCAGTGGGAATCTCTGTTCCATAGTAGCCTTCTGTTATTCCAAAGTTGCTTGTTGCAGATTAAAAAATAACAAAAAAAAACACTAGAACTGTGATCTTCTGAATTAGGAGTTTGGGAGGTAGGAGGCATAAGGGTTCAAGTCTCACCTATACATCTTATTGTTTGTTTGACTTTGGATAAAAGATTTGACTTTCTTGAGATGACTTCTTCATCAGTATTGTGTGGGGTTAGAGTGGGTGACCAGAGTTTGCTTATCAAGCTCTAATAATCTAAAACTCTGGGACTAGTTAACACTACTCAACTGCTTACTCACACTACCTAAAGCACCGGTCAGGCACCCTTCATAAGGCAGAGAATTTTCACAAGTTTTACAGTGAAATCTGCCTGGTTTGCACTCACAGAGGGGGCAGTGAATAGTTGAATTATGGGATGCTTTTTCAGAAATGCCATTTTTATTACTTTCAAATGGGCACAGTAAATATGCTAAGCTAACAAAATGTTTCCAGGATGTTTTGCCAAATATAGATCTTTCTGTGAATGTATCGGAATGCTATGTAATTAACTTTTATTGTTTATACATCAGCACGAGCTTCTAAAGTGTTTAAAGCAGTTTGTTCCCTTGAGCAGTGTCACAAATACCTGTCACCAGCCTCTTATTTACATGATACCCTATGTTTTATGTAATTTTATTGGTACAGAGGCAAAACCGAACTCATATTTTCCTCTACTTTCAGCGCTTAAAGGCAAGCAATATTAACGATGTTTTGAATGACGATGACTTGGTATTTACAAGATTTTTCCTGGATGCATATTTCTTCTGTGTAAGCAACATTACTCAGCCCCAGAATCCTGGATTCCGCAGAATTTGTCTTCGTGTTCATGTCATTGATTCAGAAGGAAGCAAAACTTCTGAATCAATGACCTGGTTCAGCTTGAAGTTCAAGCTTATGTTGAAAACTTCAAGAGATTATTTGGAGTTGAATGTCTTTTACTCTTTGAGTCACTGGCCACCCCTTCTGCTCCTGTGCTCTTAGCTTCCTACCTACATTAGTAGAACCTTAAGCGCCTTCTTATCTTGTCTAATAGGACTTTTCAACTCCTTAGCTCCTCAATACAATTCAGAAAACATCTATTTCTATAAGCATACAGCTTAGGAGATAACTGAAGGACTAATGGTTACTGACAACCAGGCTTTTGAAATATATATATATATATACATACATACATACATACATACATACATACATACATACAATATATATGAAGAGAGGGAGAGAGAGATAGAAACATCAATGATGAGAGAGAATAATTGATCAACTGCCTCCTGTATGCCCCCTACTGGGGATCAAGCTCGCAATCTGGGCACATGCCCTTGACTGGAATCAAACCTGGGACCCTTCAGTCCACAGGCTGACACTCATAATTCAGGCTTTGGAATTCTTCATGAAGTCATTAACTAGTTGCTGAATACCTATAAAGAGTAAACTATAGAGGAGATTAATTCCTTCATAACTGTAATTTTATTGTCTAGGGGAACTGATTTTTCCTTTGTCCTCAGGCTGTACTATGTACCACACACTGCAGAAGCTATCACCTTTTCAGCACTGGTGACAGTGAAAGCCACAAACTTTTCATTAGGTTTTGAGATCATTTCTCCAAACTACGCCATGGAGAAATGATCTCAAAACAATATTGCTTGGCTTAATTGCAGCTTTCACAAAAGAAACAATTTATACAATCATGAGAAAGCACAAAATAGCCTAATGATATATTGAAAGTCCTACAAGAGACTAGGGAGAAGGAATTAATGGCATTAAAAAAAACCAAAAATTAAACTGAATTGTTGGGAATGGTTTGGGTAGGAGGAGGATCTGGCTTAGGGCAGCATCAACAGGAAGGAAAAACCTCACTGAAGTAGGGTGTCTTAATCACCTCCCATGAAAGCAGAGTTTGCACTGACTTCTCCATGTAACTGCATTGCTTCTCATGCTGTTAGAAAGAGGTTTAACCTGTTGGCAGAATGCAAAGCCAGACTCGCTGCCTGTGTGGTGTGGCCCATACCTCTAGGCCAAGATGCCTTCCAGTTATTCTTCCCCTGGCTTGCAGCAACCAAAATCTCCACCATTAGAGTTTGTAGACCAGTGCTTTCTGGAGACATTTACTCTGTAGATGAATTAAAATGTTATTACCTAGAGGTTTGATGTTGGGTAGTTTTATATAGCAGGGCCTTGCTTATCTGGAGAGCCCATTAAGATTCAGTTTCACCCTAGCTGGTTTGGTTCTGTGGCTAGAGTGTTGGCCTGTGGTCTGAAGGGTCCCAGGTTCAATTCCAGTCAAGGGCACATCCTCGGATTGTGGGTTCAATTCTCAATAGGCAGCCAATCAATGATTCTCTTTCATCATTAATGTTTCTATATCTCTTCCTTTTCCTTTGTCTCTGAAATCAATAAAAAAATATTTTTAAAAAGATTCAGTTTCACTTAAGGTAGAATAGTGATCTGGAAGAAAGGAATGGGAAATTGACAGAGTTTCATGAAGTATGAATGGGAGAGACAGAAGAGAAAGATGAACTAGAGCTGACCTATAGTATCAGTGGCTTTAGAAAAATGTGCTCAATGCTTTGGTCATTGCGGGACTGGAGGACACATGGTTTCTGCCTTCTCTCTTCTTTCCTGTCATGATCAAGAGGTTGGCTGAGCTCACTGAGCATCAGATGGGAACATGCATATGCATGCTTGCCTATAGGGTGGGGGTTGATAGTTTTACTATGAACCAAACAAGGCACCAGAGACTCCTCTCTTCACTGGTGATATTTAAAGCCCACCCAGCACTCTACCTTCTTCTGCCCCTTCACTTGTAACAGTCTGCTGCCCTCTGAACTTGTAAGATAAACATTCTGCTGGTCTGGAGCTGGCCCTGCCCATCATATTTGCATTCCTTCCCAAGGATCCTATCCTAATTGCCTCTCTTATCTCTAAATCCCTTTTAGTGTAACAGTCAGAGTGTTTCCATGGGGTGAAGAGAACATTCCACAGGACACTAGGTTAGCTAGGTCTTCAGCCTGACTGCCAGGAATTACTGCGTGGCTTTAGGCAAATCCATTCCTCTCTCAGGAGATCCACTTTCTTTTACTATCCATGACAGGGCTGGTGAAAAAGAGGGGCCGAATAGAAGTAGCTGCTCTGTTCCTAGTTAGAACTTGTGCTTGTATTGTATAAAAGCAGAGAAGGCTGTAGTATTTGAGAATTGGATCTTACCCATCATTATTTAAAAAATAAATAAACTTCTATTTTACAGCTAGATGTGTTCCTGAACTCCCACATATTAGCTGGGGAGAACCTGATGCAAGCAAAGGCGGAACAGCAGATTGCATCCCTGTCACCGTCTGCAAGCCTCTCACCTGCTGAGCCATCTTCCAGAGTCTGGCTATGTGGCTCCTGGGATATGCTCAACCACACCCTGAGCTAGGCAGCAGGCATCTCCTAAGGGCAGAAGCTTGGATTTTAATATAACAACTGGAGCCAATTTACAGAAGTAATATGATTTTCTAAATCATTGGAATTAGCTAGTCAAGCCTGAGAGTTACAATTACTCAAAGGCTCACAAGCCCTAAAAACATCTGGCAAACTCCAACTGGGGCAGAAGAAACAAAACACACACACACACACACACACACACACACACACACACACCACATCATATGCAATAGCAAGCAAATGAACAAAAAACAAGCCCAAGGCACCATTATCCATTTTTATTATGACATCCTTAAGGTCACCATGTCAAGGGATGGGAGGAAATTAAAAGAAAGCTTCTTAGAGGACACAGCTTACAAGAATTCCTGTACTTAGAGCTTGTTAATTTTCACAGTACAGTTGCCCTGGGTTGTGAATTAAAGAAACAGATGAAAGAAATATTGTGCCTTTAACTGTACTGAAGGCCCCTTGCATACCCCTGTGCCTTTTGATGAGAAACATTAAACATTTTTAATTTAGCACATCAATTTGGAAATCTAATTTTTTTAATGCTTTGTGGTAGCAGACACGTTCACAGTGCTGTCACGACCATACAAGAATTATGAGAAACTTGAACCGCAAAAAGTAAATTAGAAAAATCTCATTTCAGTTACTCTAAAAAGAGGGGAAATTAGATTTTGATTAAAATCACTCACACATACAATTTTAGATAAACTAATTTAGCAAGACTGACTATATAATTTTTTCCCCCTGCCAGTATGTCCTTTAAATATTGGCTGTGAGGTATTTGTACCACGAACCTTTCTTTCAACCAGTAGAAGAAAAAGAAGAAACTCTACAAACGTAGCCTTCTGGCCACGTGTGTGAGATCTGGTAGGGAGAGATTAAAGAAGTGGATTTGTCAATAAAATAGGCAGGAGCCGGGAATGAATTCAGACTCCTTGTATAGTCCTTGTTTGCGGGCCCTTCAGTTCTGCCTTTTCAACCTTTCCCCCCCTAAGGTGTCAACTTGGGAATTTTTACTTTAAGGAATGATGTGTCAGCTGGTGTAGGAATTAATTGCATCATTAGTGCTGCATAATGTACAGTGTATGGCCAGAGGCCCCAGCCTGGGTTACACTGAGGCTACCACCTCCTACGTGAGATGGGAGAACAGTGACCCAGGCTTCTCATTAATTACAGGAAGACCTGGATCCTCTCCAAAGGTGTTGCCAGAGGAAGTGAAACAGAGCATAGGGATGGATGTGTTTCGTAAACTCTTAAGGTGCTGCTCAAGATTGTGCTATCAGTATTATTCTGATGGCTGAGCTCAAATTACTGCCCTGCGGCATCTGAACTTGACTTTCTAAAATCTCGGTATAGAATCTGGTTCTAAGAGGGAGAAGATTGATAACGCCTTTTAGTTATTAAGCATCTCATAGCAAATCTCATTTTGAAAATTGCATTGTTAATGAATTAGAAACTTTTAAATTAAGGCTGAAGGGTGAATTATTAACTCTCGGTAAAAAAAAGAACGACTAGTCTACAGAGGCTAGTGTCCAAAACCGATGCCCTTCTCTATAAAGCCTAAAATATGAGAAACAGGCTTCCTTGCACTGGTCAGTGAGGTGTTAGGAGACCTGCATGACATGGGTGTGAGAGCCAATGAGAAAGTTACATAATCTTTAGGCAAGATACTATTTAAAAAGAACAAAATATAATTATTACATTCAATAGAAAATGTATAGTTAGCAGAAGAACAAAGAGGGCAGACAGAGATACACTTTATACTCTAATTCCTTCACCACTACTGTCTCCCAATCTTGGTGTTCAACAGGAAGGTAGATAAAAGAAACAGAATGAGTCAGGAAATGGAAGAACAAGGGATAGAAGAGAATTAGAAGCACTAATGTACACTATATGCTTTTGGAGATAGGGATGTATCAAGGTAGGCTCATCAATTGCAACAAAGGGACCCCTCGGGTGCAAGATGCAAATAGAGGGAAAGGCTGTGCATCTGTGGGGCCAGGAGGTAATTGGAAATCTCTCTACCTGCCACTCAATTTTTCTGTGAACCTAAAACTGCTCTAAAAATAATCTATTAAAAACACCCTAAAATCTCTATATATAAAGAGTCAGGGGCCATCACAACTAAAACAACCGAACGGACAACTGAACAGACTGAGTGGGGCTGCAAGGGCAGCAGAGGGGTTAGTGAAGGACAACCAAATGACTGAGCAGCAGGCTGTATGGGGCAACCAGGCAGGCAGGGGGGTTAGTGAGGGACAACCAAATGACTGAACAGCAGGCTGCATGGGGAAACCAGGCTGGAAGGGGGAGCAATGAGGGGCAACCAAAAGACCAAACAGCAAGCATGGGGCAACCAGGCCAGCAGGGAGGGCAGTGAGGAGTGACCAAACCAGCAGGGGGTGGGGGCAGTTGAAGGCAATCAGGCTGGCGGGGGTGGGAGGTGGGGGTGGAGTTAGGGGTGATCAGGCTGGCAGGCAGGTGAGCAGTTAGGAGCCAGCTGTCCTGGATTGTGAGAGGAGTTTCTGACTGCCAGTTTAGGCTTGATCCTGTGGCCTAAACTGGCAGTCGGACATACCCCGAGGAGTCCCAGATTGGAGAGAGTGCAGGCTGGGCTGAGAGACCCCCAATCCCATGCACAAATTTTGTGCATTGGGCCTCCAGTATATGCATAAGTACCGATTAATAAAAAATATTGAGGGGTTTATAATGAATATGAAATTTAAATACATTTATCTTTTTGTTTGCTTCTTATGTATGCTTAGAGTGATGCAGGGAGCATGAACGTGATATCAGACACACTCATTTTAATCTAAGCTCTGATATTTACAAACTGTGATTTTGGGCAAATTACTTAAACTCTCTAAGTATCATTAATCCCATCTATAGAATGTACACTTTATATACCATGACACTGATTTCATTGTGTTATCAATAAGATTAAATGACCTAACTTCTGTGATAAATATAGTAGCATATTTTAAGTTCTCAGCAAGTGGTGGCTAGCAGTTGTTGAAGCTTAATAGTAACTTTTATGTAGTTATGAACAAAGGTACTGTTATGTGGTATGATGTGCCATTTTTGGGGTAATAGATTATACTTGTAAAATAATTTATGTGTTAAGAAGTGTTTTTTTGTCATTGATATTTTTGATATTTACAACAAATCTATGACTTAGGTAGAGATATGGGGAGATATTTCTGTTTTTTATTTTTATTTTTTATAGCGATGAGAAACTGTTTTCTTATACATGGGATTGCTTAAGATTATACAGCTACTATTTATTCTAGAGATAAAATAAAAATAAAATACTCTGAATTTTGAAAACACCAACTAACTGAGACAAAAAGATATAAGAATTCAAAGGTAACATAAAGTAGCATAAGAAGTGGATGGCAGCATTCAGGAAAGAAACTGAAAATAACCATAAACATTTTACTAGGATAAAGGGCCATGTTAGAAGCTATAAGTAGAGTAGATGGAGTCAGGGATATAGAAAAGATGCTTCAGAAAATCACATAAAAACAAATGGAGAAGAACCAAGAGATAAATGATAAAAATAGATAATGTAAAACAAAGTGGAATTTATTATGTCCATAATGAGAGAAATTATACAAATTTAATAAAACTTTCAAGAATCCATTGTCCTAAAAAGCACACTGTTTCAAGAGAAGAAAAATTATATAGAATAATATATCGATATATTGAGATGTAGCCCAATTAATTTGGTAATTGAGAAGGATAAATACTGTACATCCAGGTAGAAAAAGCAAGGGGGAAGCTGTGAGTTCAGCTTACTCCACTCTAACATTTAATTTTAACATAGGATGGATAAATGTCTACGGATCTCTATAGGGGTAAAAGGGAGAATTTTATTCCATACCAATTTGTCTTCCAAATGGAAAGAAATCATTATTAAACATGCAAGTAATTGAGGAATGTAATGCTCATGAACCCCCTCAAAACAATTTATGATGGAATCCAACAGCCAACAAATAAAATTAAACAAAGGATTCAGCGATGGGGAAGCAGCACTATGAAAGACCAGAGGTAGGCAATGCATCCATTTAAACACATAAAAAAGTTTTTCTTTTCTTTTTTTTTAAAGCTATGGGTGTTTTTGTAACAGAATTGGATGTAACTAATATAAATCTTGACAATGTAAAAAATGATAATAACATAACTAGAAGTACAAGAGGGTACAAATTTCCTCATCTGTCATAGTTGGAAGTTAAAAGACACTGCACAAAGTTGATAAGTTAACAAACAGAGGGTTAAAGCATGTAATTTTTGAAAAGAGACTGACAACAAATCTTTTAAATAATAAAAAATTAAATAACCAAAAAATTAACACTAAAGATATAGACTACAAGAAGATAGTAAATAAAAGTACAAAAACATAAAATAAGATGAAAAATTGACTCACCATATTTCTTATAAAAATAAGTATAAATGGAATAAACTCACTTAAAATAAAATGTCTCATATTATATAAGGGCATTTCTAAAATAAAATAACTCCAATTGATCAAATATAAATCAATAGGCAAAGCTATATCAGGCAGATGAATGCATGTATGTAAAAGACAGGCAACAAACTCCCAAGCCAAAAATAAGCAACAATGACAAAAACTAGGTCACAACTATTAATACTAGAAAAGAGTGAATTCCAAATAAAAAGCATTGTATGGCACCAAAATAAATAGTTTATATTAGTAAAAGGTGTATGTCACATTGGGAACAACATTTACTAATCTTTCTGCATCACCAACAGTATCAAAATATTTATAGCTAAAATTGCAGGTCATAGATAGAAAATTGACAGCTACTTTATTCTAACAGTAGGAATCTCTCTGCACTGCTCTTATCTCATGATCAGTGACACAAATAAACATCAGCTAAAATTATATTGAGCTTTTATAATATAAATAAGATAGTTTAAATACACACATGAGCACAAATCTATTCAATTCTAGAAAGTATTTTTAAAATACATGATCATATACCTTCACTTACATTTATTTTATAAAATATCAGCAATTCCTAGAGGCTGTTACCCTATAATTTGGGCAAGTTTCTCTGAAACCATGGAATTGCATGACCTGAAAATTGAAAACCTCTGGATGAAGAAACCAGAGCTTGTATTATTAGACTAGCAGCACAGATGGAGTTCCTTTCAATATCAAACTACTTTTCCCATTGTTATTTCAGAGAAAACACTGTTCTGATTACAATTGTCTGGATGGGTTAGTTATAACCAGTTCTACCATTTCTAGCAAAGAAATGAAGAGAAACCTGTTTTTAATCATAAACCATCTCTCAAAGATGATTTCAGTAAGCATTGCAATACTTCAGGTTGCAATGCACTTGTGCTCATGAGGGACCAGCTGGTGCACTCATCAAGGCCCTCTGATCTTCCTCATAACTCACACTCATACCTCACAAAGATTTGCTTTAATAAACGGGGAAATATTCCTGTTGCTTAGTAACAGAACTAGGAGTTGAACCTATAGCTCTCAAAGTCCAGTCCTTCATTTCTTTAAGCCATATTGCTTTTCTGTAGCACAGGTCAGGACTGTGGATATAGAGTAGCTTTCCCTTTGACTTAACGTTATGAGAGATATTATATTTAACTGCTTTTCTGACTAACTCTCCTGTGGCTTCAGCAATTCTCCATAATCTTCATACTTGTCCTTGTGAGTGTTCATCATGTTAAATGTGTTCAATTGGTCTATTCCGTATTGTATAACTACCTTGCTCACATCAGATTGTTGTTGTAAGAATTACAAATACCTTTGCTCAGCATTTCACCCATATAAACTCATGTTTCTGATCTCTGTGCTGATGTCTCCTGGGCACTCTTCTAGGAGTGCTCACCCCAGGATCACACAGGTATTGTACTATATAGGCGTTGTTGTTTTTTTACACCCTGAATGTGGTTCCATGCACTATGGGGACTGTCTCTTTGCCAGGCCTGTCTGCATACTCCTATTAGTTGTGTGCTTGACTGAGGTTTTATAGGCTCTGAGTGTTCACCTTTACGGACACATTTTATTTGTAATGATAAACTAAGAGGTTCTTACCTAAAAATTATTCAAAAAGGTCCTATACTATTAAAAATAAAATATTGCTTTGTTTACTGTTATTTCCATATAATCTACTCTGAGCTTATATGGAGTGGATATTAATAACTGTTTCTAGAAGAACCATATAACTTTATGAGCAATATATTCACTTTTACTATCAAGACTATCTCTAAGCTGAGATATTACACTTGGGCCCTCTCAGACAAATATGGGAGACTTAATATTTATAATGCTGAGGATCTGGCTCTTTTATTTATTTATTTATTTATTTATCTATTTATATTATTAATTCTTTTAAAAATATTTATTGTTGAGATTACCACAGATATCCCTCTCCCCCCCCCCCCCCCCCATTATCCCCCTCCATCCAGTTCCCACCCTGCCTCAGGCCTTTGCCACCCTATTGTCTGTGTCCATAGGGAACGCATATATGCATATAAGATCTTTGTTTAATCTCTTCCTGCCCTCCCCTTTCTTTCTGAGAAGCATCTATCTGTTCCATTTCCATACCTCTGATTCTACTTTATTTACTAGCTTATCCAGTTCATTAGGTATCTTATTTGTTTATTTTGATTTTTAGATTCAATTGTTGATAGGTATGTATTTGTTGCCATTTTGTTGTTCATACTTTTGGTCTTCTTCTTCTTCTTCTTCTTCTTCTTCTTCTTCTTCTTCTTCTTCTTCTTCTTCCTCTTCTTCTTCCTCCTCATCCTCAAGAATATCCTTCAAAATTTCATATAAAACTGATTTGGTGGTGATGAATACCTTTAGTTTTTTCTTGTCTGTGAAGCTCTTTATCTGACCTTCAATTCCAAATGATAGCTTGGTTGGTAGAATAATCTTGGTTGTAGGTTCTTGGTATTCATCACTTTGAATATTTCTTGCCATTCCCTTATGGCCTGCATATTTTATGTTGAGAAATCAGCTGATAGTCATATGGGCATTCCCTGGTAGTTAACTAACTGCTTTTCTCTTGCTGCTTTTAAGATTCTCTATTTGTTTTTAGCCCTTGGCATTTTAATTATGATATGTCTTGGTGTGGTGCTCTTTGGATTCTTTTTGTTTGGGGTTCTCTGTGCTTCCTGGACTTAGAAGTTTATTTCTTTCACCAGATAGGGGAAGTTTTCTGTCATTATTTCTTCAAATAGGTTTTCAATATCTTGCTCTCCCTCTTCTTCTGGCACCCCCATAATGCTAATGTTGTTATTCTTGAAGTTATTCCAGAGGCTCCTTACACAATTTTCATATTTTTGGATTCTTATTTCTTTTTGTTCTTCTGGTTGAGTGTTTTTGCTTCCTCATATTTCAAATCATTGATTTGATTCTCAGAATCCTCTATTCTATTTTGAATCCCTGTAAATTATTCTTTATTTCAATCAGTTTATGCTTAATTTCTGACTGGCCCTTTTCTATATGTTTGGCATTCTCACTAAGATCCTTAAAAGTCTCACTAAGTCCCTTGGAGGTTTCTAGAAAATTCTTGAGTAACTTTATAACTGTGGTTTTGAATTCTATATCCAGGAGTTTATTCTATTTCTTTACTATGTGACATATTTTTTTTTTGCCTCTGCATTTTGGCTGCTTCCCTGTGTTTGCTTCTATGTATTGGGTAGAGCTGCTAAGACTCCTTGAGTTGGTAGAGTGGACTTGTGTAGTAGGTGTCCTATAGGGCTCAGTGGCTCAGCCTCCCCTGTCACCTAAGCTTGGAGCTCTAGGTGCACCCCTTTGTGGGATGTGAGCACAGTCTTGTTGTAGTTGAAACTTGATTGCTATTGGTGTCACATCCAGGCCAATTGGCTGTCAGGACCAGCTGCACCTACAGTGGGGCAGCTTCTATGTAGGAGACACCCCTATGGAACAGGATTTGCTTCAGTGGGGCTTTGGTGCTCACTGAGTCTGCCCCTTGAGTGTGTCACTTATGGATGTGTAGAGTTGTAATCTGGTATGATCAGACACTGATTACTGGATACACTAGCTCTTGGGTCTCCAGAGCGATGCAAAGTCAACCATTGTCTGGGGCCACCCAACAGGAGTTCCAGAGAGATCTGCAGATTCCTCCTCTTTGTATTGGGTTTGGAAGTGTCCAGATGAGGCCCAACTATGAAGCAAGGCCAGCTGGTGCTGGTGTGTGCCTGATCTTGGGCCTTTTATTGATAGATTTGGGGCTCCCTGACCCTGCTACAGCTTGTTTGAGATGTTCAAGGACATGCCATTAATATGCAAAAGTCACTGCATGCAGCTTGGGTGGATTTGTAAATTGGATGAGGCAAGGTGGGGGTGGGGTGGGTCTTAGGGAATCACTAAGGGGAGCAAACAGAAATGGCTGCCAATCAGCCCTGCTACCAGGGAGGTTCTAGCACAGGAACTGTGATTCCTGCTACTACCCCTATCTGGTAGAAAGCCTCCTCCAAGTTTCTACCCTGGTGTCAGACAAATATGTTCCCCAGAGCCTTGCCCTGGCACTGAAGCTCAGAAGAAACAGAACCTTGTAAGTTCAGTTTGTGGTGCCAGTCTTTTAAGAGTAGTAGTTGGGTCTCCAGCAGCCTCTATCACTGAGCTGAAATCTTCACTGGTTTTTACAGCACATAGGTTAGGGTGACTTCCTTTCCCATTCTGTGATCCTTAACTGGGGGTCTGCTGTGGGGTTGGGGCCCCTTGCTCCTCTGGTGACCTTCACATAGGAGATCTCCCTCCCAATTAAAAAAGCCCATTCTGTGCCTCTGAACCTCCTACCAGTCTCAGTGTGCTTTCTACTTTACTTCTCTAGCTGTAGGACTTCCATTCAGCCAGCTTACGGGTTGTTCTGGATGATTGTTGTAGTTTTGATGTGGTTGTGAGAGGCAGTGAATACAGGTGTTTACTGGAGGAAGATCTGGCTGTTTTAAAACTAGATGAGAAAAATTTCCAGAATGGTGAATTTGTTCATGCAGTGGGCATATGCTATCATTTCTCATCTTGCGTTTGGTGTCCCTTTATAACTTATTAAAACAAAAAATTAAACTGGACTAATGAAGCTCTGTGTTTTAGGGGGAAATCTATGTTGACATTATAATTCACCTCTGGATCCATGAGCCAACTTTGAAAAAGTTCTAGAGAGTTGTTGCTTAGTATCTGAGCTACTTAATCAGATCTGCAGGAAATGATCATGTAATACATTTTCATTCACTCAATTATTCTATAAATATTCATTGAACAGCTTCTGCTTTGATATATTGCACAAAATTCTATAAGGCATATGGGTAAAAAGGGTAGTGGTCTCCTCAGCTAGACTGCCAGGTCATTGAGGACCAGATATGACGTGTTTATAAGTAATTATAATGTGAGATATGAACTACTAAGTATAATAAGGGATAGAGATGAAGGACTTTGAGAGACCAGGGATGGGAATAATTATTTCTGACTGGGGAATCTGGGAAGAGACCCTTTTTGAGTTTAACATGGAGGAATAACTAAGGTTTTGACATGCAGAGATAGGTAGCAATGCACTCAAGTGAAGGTAAAATTGTGATCAAAATTGTGTCAACTGCTAATTGAATTATTTTTCCTAGGGTATTGCTAGAGAAGTAGGCCTATTTCCAAGTAAACACTTAATTTCTGGCCAATAATAACTCTGTTGTCTGCATTAGGGATCTGTGTGGTTCTACAATTGCAAACCCCAGGCCAGATGACAGCAGCAACCCCTTCAAAGCTCCTACAGCCCATGGACCAGTGAGCGTGTGATTGAGTGACTCAGGGCATTGCGGTCCATTGGTCCCTCAGAATCTCTGGCTGGAACATTCTCCTTCAGGCATGTGCTCCTGCCAGTGGTATGTAACCTTGGGAAAGACCTTCCTTTGTTGAACATATGTAACACAGGTGTTGCTGTGTTTTGGGTTGTGATTAAAAAACAAAACAAACTAATAGAATAGATGAAAATACACAATATAATAAAGAAAATTGGAGTTTTGTGGTGGTTACAATGCTTGCTGTGATTTTAGCAAAGTCCATTTATATCTCTAGCCTTTAGTTTCTTTGCTTGGAAAATGGGACTATCACCATTGGATTTGTTTCTGCCATTCAGAATGTTCCAGCCAGAAGCTCTGAAGCACCAATGGGTAGCAGTTGGGAGAGTAAATGAGTTGCTAGCTACTGCTTGGACTTTGTTGTTTTACATGCAAACAGATGCATCTCATTTTCTGGACAAGTTCTATAAATTTAACTATCAAATATTTTCAGCCAATTAATAACTATTTTTTTTCTGTTAATTTTCTTTATAAAAGCAAAACATATTCATTGAGGGAAAAACTCCAGGCATAAAATCACAACTAACAGCCAATGAACTTTCAGAATCTCACATCTCAGATCATCTTTTTAGATAATCTACCAATATCAATATTTAAGATAAGCCTCCCACATAAATAATGTACCTGAAACCAAGATCCTCTGAATTAATTAATAAGATAGACCTTATGGGATGCATGCCATTTAAAGTAATGTATTTCCTCTCTAACAAATGTCAGATTTTCTAGCCATACATAAATTCTTCAAGCATTTATTAAAATTATTTGATGCTTTTGTACATGGCTGGTGGGCCTGTAAACTCGAGCAAGCTTCTTGGAGGGGAATTTGGAAATATGTGCCAAAGACCTTAAATACATTCCTACCCTTTGACCCAACAATTCAAAGCCTGGGAATTTATCTTAAGGCAATAATTATAGGTAGGCCCAAAGATTTATATGTGATTTTAAATTTATCACAGCATTTTTTATAATAGCAAGTAGTAGAAACAACCTAAATGTCAAACAATAGGGGGTTGGTTAAATAAATTATAGTACATCTATATTTAGAATACTGTGTGACCATTAAAAATAATTGATCTCAAAGAATTTTTAATGCCATGGGAAAATGCTTAAAATATTTTGTTAAGAAAAAAAAAAAAGTAGAGCAGATTCCAATGTTTTTTTTTTTTACAAAAGCATGTATACACACACACACACACACACACACACACATATATATATTTAAAGATTATAGAGATTTATAGCAAAAGGTTAATAGTGATTATGGTTGAAACAAAATATTTTTTTCTTCTTTATACTTTTTCTTAAATTTATCCAGATTACTACTATCTTCATAAAAGGTTATTTATATATACTGTACATGACATGTCTTAATCTGTTTGATAGCAAAATATCACAGACTGATAGCTTTAAACAACAGTTCTATAGGCTGGGAAGTCCAAGATCAAAGTAATGTGATGAGAACTCTCTTCCTGGTTCAGAGGAGCCTCTGCATTGCTGTATCCTCATATGGTGGAAAGGACAAGGGAGCTCTCAGGAACTTCTGTTGAAGGACACTAATCCCATTTATGAGGGCTCCACACTCATGTCCTCAGCACCTCACAAAGGCCTACCTCCTAACATTATCATTTTGGGGGATTAGGATTTCATCTTATAAATTTTGAGGGGACACAAACATTCAGACCATATCATTATATATATGATATATAAGTCATCTGATAAATAACTTACGGTATGTTCAACATCTTAAATAACTTATGTTCAACAAACTTAAAAAGAAGGCTGCTTTAAATTAAAATAAAAACAAGTAATTTGGAAAATGGATTACAGCTTTTCAATGATCAGAATACCACAGGTTTATGGAAAATATGAGCTGGAAGAGCCAGCTCTTAACAAACTCCAGAATGGTTGGAATAACTTTCCTAAGTCACATGACCAAAGTGGCAAATTGACATTAGAACTCAGGTTCTGAACCTTCAGACTTCTCTTCTCAGATAAAAAAACACACAACTATAAAAAACAAACAAACACATTTTTATTGATTTATTGGGAGAGGGAGAGAAAGAGATAGAAACATCAATGATAATAGAGGATCATTGATTGGCTGCCTACTGCATCTCCCACATTGGGGATCTAGCCCCAAACCTAGGCATGCGCCCTCAACAGGAATTGAACTGTGACCTCCTGGTTCATAGATTGATGCTCAACCACAAAGCCACACCAGCTGAGTTCTTTTTAGCTGTTTTTGACTGAGTTCTCAGGTTTGCTCTCTCTCCCTTTTTTCTATCAAGATGCTGGGCAATTTAAGTTAGCACTCTACATTACAAAAAAAAAAAGAAAAAAAAAGACTTTATGTTTTAAAGAGTAGTTTTAGGTTCATAGGAAAATTTAGAGGAAGGTACAAAGATGCCGCATGTATTCCCTGCCCCTACAATGCATAGCCTCTTCTATTATCAATAATCCTCACTAGAGTGGCATTTGGTTATAGCAGATAAACCTGCATTGGCACACCATTATCACTCAAAGTCCATATTTTACATTGTGATTCACACTTGGTAGTGTGCATTCCATGGGTTTGGACAAGTGTATAATGACATGCCTTTCATTATAATATTATAAAATGTATTCTCACTGCTCTAAAAATCCTCTGTGCTTCATCTATTTATTTCTGCCCCAACCTCTGGCAACCACTGATCTTTTTACTGTCTCATAGTTGTTGTTTTTTTGCCTTTTCCAAAATGTCATATTCTTAGAATCACACACTATTTAGCATTTCCAGATTGACTTCTTTCACTTAGTAAAATGCATCCAAGTTTTTAAAAATGTCCTTTCATGGCTTCATAACTTATTTCTTTTTAGCACTGAATAATACTCTATTATCTGGATGTACCACCATTTTAAAAATCTACTCATCTACTGAGGACATCTTTGTCAATTATACATAAAGGTATTTTGATAACTACATCTGAGCAAAAACAGATGGAAATCTTCTGGATATGTTACAGATGGACTGCTTGGGTGTTTTAACTCTTACTGAATGAAATGCTTGTTGAGTGGACTGAAATATACAAGCCAAATAATAGATCCTTTTCAGTTGATGGAGAAATGCTGATGAATTTTACTTTCTTTTATTCAAGATTTTTAAAACGAAGGGACTTTTGCCATCCCTCTGGTTGCGGTTTTCTAAGAGATGGCTGCTCATCTACATTTATATGGTTGGTTACTTACTTCTAATGACACATAGAAAAACACCACTGTTTTCTAGTGCTTTCCAGATACAGGGACTTCTGCATCTTGTCCCTCAGTTGGGAGTAGATCTTCTTTTGGGGGAAACAGTTATTTATAGTCTATGTTATCTTCCAAATAATTATATTTTATTTTATTTTATTTATTTATTTATTTATTTATTTATTTATTTATTTATTTTTATATATTTTATTGATTTTGTACAGAGAGGAAGGGAGAGAGATAGAGAGTTAGAAACATCGATGAGAAAGAGTCATCGATCAGCTGCCTCTTGCACACCCCCTACTGGGGATATGCCCGCAATCAAGGTACATGCCCTTGACCGGAATTGAACCCGGGACCTTTCAGTCCCCAAGCTGACGCTCTATCTATTGAGCCAAACCGGTCTTGGCAATAATTATATTTTAAATATCATAATTTAATTAATATTAGCATTTTCAGGATTTGCTCAAGGGCATCGAATAGGTCAATACATCTATTTTATGCTGACTGAAATCCTACATCAATTTTTTTTCTATCAGGGGACTTTCTTTTCAAATTTTATTAGGCCATGATAAGAGATTTAGTGTTCTAATTTCTTTCTTTTTTTCTTTCTCTCCCTCCTTCCTTCCTTATTATTTTTGCATTATGTGTTTTCTTTAGTGTTTTTCTGTATTTGGATTCTATCATTAATGCAACTGATTTTTAGGTAACTGTGGGAAAACTGGCAAGAAGATGATATGAATGTTGTAAAATAAGAAAATTAAGTAGATTTCTATGTCTTTTCTTTTTTTATTATACAATCATTTCACTTCTAGGTATGGGTGGGGTTAGTCTCAAGGAAAGTGGGTATAGGAATTCAGCATAGAACATATCAATGCAATTGCAATACATGTCCCTAATAGATCCCAAACACCCCCTGACAATAGTTTGGAAAGTGTATCAGCAGAAAATTAAACCTTGTAATTGCTGTCTGGCAAATGGAAAGATATAATTGATTATCTTAGCTTATTTAAATGTTTCTAATTGCCAGAGATAGTGTTTGTTTGACACAGCTTTTCAACTTGCCAAGCAAAGTTTACACTGTCAATAAGCAAGTAATAGAAGTTGCCAAATGGCTCTTCTAAACATTTTGACTCTCAGTGGCTCAATTTTATGTGATACTTTGCTTTCAGTGCCAGACTCTCTCCTGCAGTCTACAGTAAGTGGAAAAGTAATAACATTGTCATGTTGGACTTGGAAGGGGTCCCCAATGCCCACCTATGCTTCCACACTGGGCCAGCAGTTCTAAGCCAATCTCCAGGCAAGGAGATTTTACTTATTTTGAGTTACTGATGGTGACAGTTACATCTCACACTGAGAAATGCCTGGACCTGGGTTTTAGGATGCCATTCTTTCTCTTCTCAGCCATGAGGTACAGAGGAATCACTATCAGTGAGTCAGGACCTCAGCGCTCCAGGCATGTAGGGCTTCAGTGCCCTGCTGGCTAAGCATCCCCTGTACATGATTCTCTAGTACAATTGGGCTAGACATTGGAAAAACAACCCCGACTATTCCTGCTTACTCCCATAAAGTTCTTAATCACACATCCACATCACTTGGAGCTCTTAGGAATGAGCAAACAAAGGATTCAGAGATCTCCCCACCTCGACAAAACTGCAGATTTTTGAAGATTGAGTCTCTCTATTAACGAACCGTTGCATATTCATTGGATACTTTTTATGCATACAACATTATTCTAGATGCCCCTAGGGAAAGTGAAGAGAGTATAAGTCAAAGATTTCATCCTCAAAGAGTTTACAATTAGGGAGACAGTTCATGTGTACTTTAAAATAGCAATGACATGAGTCAGTTATTTGTAAGTGTCAACTGGCACACCTAAGGGACCCGTTCCACATTCTGCAAAGTTGTAAGTACTGAGAAGAGAAGAAGTCAGAATTTCTGAAGGTCAACTTCTGTTTTTTCCCTTGTGTTATTTGGTATCTGTGCCAAGAGACATTCAGCACATAGGGTTACTGTGCTTAGTTGTTGAACATTTTCAAAGTTTAGTGAACGATGTCCTCACTGTTGTCCTTTTCCACCTGGGCAGAGGAAATAAGAAATGGTCATGGACATGGTTTTTGCTGGCCTGCCAGCTCCGTTTGGAAATGTCACTTCCTGGAAGAACAGAACAGAAATGGAGATAAGACAATTTTGATATCTTATATAGGCCCTCAGACCTATATGCTAAGCTTGACACCAGATTTCCCCAACTCAGATGAAACTGTGATTGTTAAAGAGTTTCTAAAAGCATAAATAATATTAGTAGCTGACATTTATGAGCACGGTGTACCAACCACTTGGCTAAGCATTTTGTATACACGATTTATTTTAATCCTTATGACAACTTTATGAAGTCAGCTTCTATTTTTAGTACCACTACTTTACAGATGGAAAGCAGGCCTTAAAGGTTAAGTTGCTTGTCCAGTATCACATAACTAATGAATATAGGCAGAACAAGAATCCTAGCCTAGGTCTGAGTGTCACCGGAACTCAAGTTCTCTACCACTACCTCAAGGGATGGTGATGCTTTTGTAGAGTATGGTGGTGGAAGCCCATTATTCACAAATAGAAAGAGGCTCTGTGGCATCACCTATTGGGATTTTCCATAATCCCATTTTGTCCTAGCTGTCATCAGCTGGACAAATGGGATGCAGGTAGCACCTCCCTATTTCAGCCATAGAATCTAGGTCTATTTTAATGTGGACACAGGTCCTGCCTTGAGACAAACAATGCTTTGTCAGATTAGATCAAACCTTTGGTTAATCGATAGCTCACCATTTATGATTCCCTGACACAGTTGTCTGAGGACAACGTAAGTTTCCCCCCGATGCTCTGGATACCTGAAGTCAGCTGTGTCTGCTCATAGTTATTCACTGGTTCCCGACCCTTTATATCTCCTCAATAGCACATCACTGCATGTTTCTCTGTGGGCTCTGGTCCCCGCCTCCAAGTCAGACCCACCTTAGCTTTGCCACTTACTGGTTGTATGACAAGTTATTTGAAATTTCTAAGCCTAGCTTCTCCATATCTAAAACAGCTTAGTGGTACTTATTGGGCTAGGCATTGGAAAAGCACCCCAATTATTCCTCCTTTCTTCCGTAAAGTTCTTAATTACACATTTAAATTACTTGGAGCTCTTAGGAATAGATAAACAAAGGATTCGCAGATTCCCTATCCCTTGGCAAAATTGCTTGCTTTCTCAATATTCTGGTTGTGAGGATTCAATAGTGTTTGTAAAATGCTTAGCACACTGCCAGGCACAAAGAGAACAGCCAATGAATGGTTAAGTAATATTAATCAATGTCTGTCATTTTATGTAGCTTTATAGTTCTCTAAATAACTGAACTCTTGCCTTGGGCCAATTGTCTCGCTTAGCCCTTAGACCAGCGGTCGGTCGGCAAACTGCAGCTCGCAAGCCACATGGGGCTCTTTGGTCCCTTGAGTGTGGCTCTTCCACAAAATACCACAGCCTGGGTGACTATATTTTGAAGAAGTGGCATTAGAAGAGGTTTAAGTTTAAAAAATTTGGCTCTCAAAAGACATTTCAATCGTTGTACTGTTGATATTTGGCTCTGTTGACTAATGAGTTTGCTGACCACTGCCTTAGACAATGTCCTAGAGGTGAGAAGTGCGTGGCTGAGATCTTGGATGTCCAGATCATTTGGATGTGGTCTAGGTGCCTCTAAGGTTACCTAGAAGGTGGTTATGCCTGAGTGGGGCCAGTAGTTTGGAACCATAGGAGTCTCAGCTGGCTGCTCTGGGGAGCTGTTGTGACTTGGGCCACCATAGCAAGCTCAGGGGGCCTGGCATTTTGTATGCCCACCTCTTTTCTGTTTGCCTTGCTGAGACCACTTCACTCACTCTCAATTAAAATCTCAAAATAAAATCTCAACTTTAGTTTCTGCCTTGCTACTCGGCTTCTGACCACCTGCTGATCGACCTGCCACATTTTGCTTTAACTCTAGTGTTTAACATTGTGGCCAGAACTGCCAATCTCTAGGCTAGGTCCCCCTTCCTGCCACTCTGACCCAGACTCAGCACTTGTTTTAGCTCCTGGTGCCTGCTCTGCCTTTAACCATTCGTTCTCAAAGGGCCTCCCTTATTCCTTATTCCCTTCAATTCCTGTCTCCTGTGTTTTGCTTCTAACTGGGTCCTTATGTGACAATAAGGCAGCCACTTCAGGTAACTGAAAAATAGTAACTGAAAAATCATGGGAGGAAAGCAATTCCTTGTTTAGTGACCAGAGCAAGACCATTTTCCTAAGCCACATGTGGAGAATTGTTCTCATTATGACTATTTTAACATAATAAATCTTAGTGCCTCACTAGTGATATAGAGTAAAGCCTCATTAATTAAAGCCCCACCGATTCAGAATTTAAGATAATTTGTTCACAGGCCAAGCTGAAATTTACATTTGTACTATCTATGAAAAAAAAGGCTCATTAAGTAAATCAATAAAGTAAGGAAGATTGCAGGAAGCCTGTTTAATCTAATTAAGAAAACAAACTATTTTCAAGCACTTTGTAATACCATTGGCATATAAACAATGTGCTCATTACAAACACTCTTATGTGTTCGTTAAAGTATATCGAGAAAGATTCCTATTTGACAAGTTTTTTTTTTTTTAGTGATTAGTTCGAGTAAATGTATGATATTGAAGACAGTGAAACTGTTTTTTAAATAGTGTGTAGTTTTACCCTTTCCTAACAGGCATATCCATAAGGTATTGGTTGAAGGGACTGCACACTTGGAAATCAGACAGACTTGAATTCTCATGTTGGCTCTGCCTGTGAACTTGAGCATGGTCTTTCCTTTCTGTAAGCTGGGGTTTCCTTTTCTCAAGGGGGTTTCGAGAATGAAATGAAATAGTATAGGTAAGGTGCTTTTTATTGTCCTAGGCCAGTGGTCGGCAAACTGCGGCTCTCGAGCCACATGCAGCTCTTTGGCCCCTTGAGTGTGGCTCTTCCACAAAATACCATGTGCAGGCATGCACATACAGTGTGATTGAAACTTTGTGGCCCATGCACAGAAGTTGGTTTTCAGCCTGGGCGAGTCTATTTTGAAGAAGTGGTTCTGACACGGAGCCACACTTGAGGGGCCAAAGAGCTGCCTGTGGCTTGCGAGCCGCGGTTTGCCGACCATTCTCCTAGACATATAGTAGAATAAGCAACAAAAACGGCTCTTATGTATCATTTAACATATACAACAAAACCTGAGAAAATTATTATTACTATTTTTTTTATGCGAAAAGCTTTATTGTTTCATTCAGTCCAATGCATGGGAGAGGGCTCCAGGGTGGTTAACAGAATGGCTAGTAGTTTGGGGAGAGGCTCAGGGAAAAGCAGACACCAGGGGATGCAGAGGGGCTCCCAAGGCCTCTGGGCTCCAGAGGCTCCTGGCGGTGCTGGAGGGGAGCCTCCGGGAGAGACTCGCCCAGCCCAGCCTGGGCCGCAGCCTGCGGGGTGAGTCAGGTGGGGCCCATCTTCTTGATCAGTTTCACCTCGGAAGTGGTTCTGCAGGAAGTCACCGAGAGGAGGGTCTGCGGGGAGACCCTGGCCTGCAGCTCCCAAAGGGCCTGGGTCAGGCCCCTCCCCAAGACCAGGCGGCCTTCCTGGCGCCCTGAGTTTGCCCCTCGTCCTGGGGGGGCTTCAGCACGTCCTGGCAGGGAAGGCGGCCCCCGCGCTGGTTTTGCATCTTAGAGCCGCTCAGCTTCTCCGCCATCGAGGAAGGAGCGGCCCAGCCTGAGAGCCACGTCCTCCCGGCGGGAACAGGAGCCCCGAGAGGTGGGTGTGGAGCCGCAGGGGCAGGGGGGCCAGGCGGTGACCCAGCCTCCACTGAGTGGAATAATTGCTGAATTTGGGAGCTTATGGTTATTGGGCAATAAGGAGTTAAGGCAGGAAACACCCGGTGTGTTGGCTGGTCCGGAGGTGGTCCTGGAGGTGGTGACTGGATGAGACGCAGGAGAGAGGCCGGAGCTGGAAGAAGGGGCGTCCTGGGTCTGTTCCCTCCGAACACTGTTGAAGCAAGAGACAGGTCTGGACTGCCAAGGGTACTTCTGAGAAAAATTCTGATTATCCTCATTTTACACACGAGGAGGCGTGGACTCGGGATAATTGAGTAGCTTCTGCATGTCTAAGGGGGGAGCTGAGATGCAAACGCAGGCCCCCTGCTTCCCCATGTTCTGTTTGGTGGCTGCCCCGGGGGAGAGGGGCACCCTGAGCCCCGGGCACCATGTGAGAGCACGCCTGCTTGCAGTGGAGTGCAGTTGGCTCTCTGGTGCTAATAATCAGCCATGGTTTATAGCTGTTCGTCTCCGCTTCTGAGTAGAAAGAATGAAACACTTCCTCTGCCGCATTTATTTTACTTTAAAAAAATTTTGGAGGAGGGTTGACAAGACAGTGAGAAGACAAGCAAGATTAATGGTAACTGAAGCGAGGCTTTTGAAAGGTGCAGGAAAATTCTGGGCGCTCAGAGAAGGGAGGGGAGAGAAAACCAACTGTGCTGGAAGGCAGGCACCCTGACCTCAGCCACACACGACCTCTCAGAGGAGACCAAGAGCCCTTGCTTTTTTAGACCCAAACCAGAGCTTCCAAAATGATGGAAATCTATCGCTGATGAGAGGGGAGAAATATGGATGAAGCCCATAGCTATGTTTAGAGCATCAGGGGATGAATTAGCCTAATTGGAATATTAGTCTCCGTTACAGAGAGTAATCACTACAGGCTGCCTCTGTTTTCATTTAGAAATTTAATTAAGTTTATCAAAGTTTGGCTTCTCTAGCCTTCATTTTCCCGGCCTCTCCCCAAACAGCCCTGTTGTTGAAGAGGCGTTTTCTTTCATTTTATTTTGTTTCCCAGGAAGGGGGTTGGGCTGGGGCCAGGGCAAGCTCAGGGGTGGGCTACAGCGTCTACCCTTCCCAGTAAGCCTGGCTGTGACCCCCTCCAGCAGCGAGGCTCTTGGAGGTCACACGGGGGGGGGGGGGGGGGGGGGGGGGGCTTCCCATGGCTGAGGACATCAAAAAAGGGCGCGTTTATCCAGGTAAGGGAGCTGAGCTTTTTCTTAATTTGCAAGGAAAAGCATCAAAGCGTTTCTTTTTAGTTACCTCCAATAAGAGCACAGAGATATTCCTGAATAATTCTGCAGTTCAGTTGTTGATAGGCCTGTTTCTTCCAAAAAATTAGTGCCTGTGGCTACTATTTATTTATTTGTAATTTATTGATTTTTTTTTTTTTTTTTTTTTTTTTTTTGAGTCCGCAGGCCAACACTCTACCCGCTGAGCCAAACCAGTCAGGGCTCTGTGGCCACTATTTACCAAAAGGCTTGCAGGCACATGCAAAAGCTTCTGAGAAGGAGAGCTTCTCCTGCAGAGTCCGCTTGCCTCCCCATCTCTCTTCCTGTTATGCTGCTCCTCCTCCTCCCTCTACATCCTCTTCTTTATTTTACTCCTCCTCCACTTTACACTCTGGGTCCCCTCCTCCTCCTTTTGCAATGACCTGAGGTCTCTAATGAATAAATTCCTTTTGCTATTCTCTTTCTTCTCTGGACTTCAAATATTTTATTTTAAACATTTTTCTTTAAAAAAAAAAATTTATTGTTGAAAGTATCACAGATGTCCCCTTTTCCCCCCTATGGAATCTGTCTAGCCCACCCCTGCCTCCTGTCCCAGGCCTTCTCCACACTATTGTCTGTGTCCATGGGTTATGCATATATGCATACCAGTTCCCATCCACCCATACCCACCTTTTCAAATCTAGAGATTGTTACTGTCTTGCCATTTTTCTAAGTCCTCTTTGGTCTCCACATGTGTATAGATATGTGTATAAAAGTATATATCCATTTTTGCCAGATCATTTTAAAATAAATTGAAAATATTATTATGCCAATTTAGCACATGAGAAGGCTTGTTTCGAAATTTGTTTTAAAACAAGAAATAAATGACTCTGAACATGAAATGTAAGGACTTTCTCTGTGTAGGGAGAATACTAGTACTTTCAATGGGGTCTTTTCAGGACTCAGGGAGGAAGAGGCAACATAGAGAATTAGTTAAGACAATTTGTACCAAATTGGTCTAACGATTCTCCACCCCTGTACTGAAACAACAGCGAAAACCTTTTCTGCCACCCTTTTAAGCATTTCTGTTTCTCTCTGTGAATAAATTCATTTTCCAGCATATTTGATTCATTTTACCCCTGTTCTCTTGTTCTATGCCTGGTTATAAAAAGCAATGTGCTTTATATTAAGGCTTTAAGCACCACTCTCAGTAATGCTTAAAGGGACAATGTGACATTTGTTAAGTCATTCAATCTCTCTGTTTTTTAGCTTACCTCACTGAAAAATGGGGTGGAGAAGCAGTAAAGATCTTCTAGGAACTTCAAAAAAAAAAAAAACAACAACCAAATTGTTGAGTTATTTACATATAATAAATTGAACTCATCTTAAGTGTATGCACAGTTCAGTGAATTTTGATTAATGTATGCATTTATGTTGTAGTCACCACTCAAATCAATATAGAATATTTTCATTTCCTCTAAAAGGTTCCCTGGGGCTCCTTTGCAGTTACTGTCCATGTTAGTCTCAACCCTAGACAACCCCTGATTTGACTCCACTCACTGTAAATTATTTTAGAATTTCAGTACAGCATATACTTCTTTGTGTTGGCTTCTTCTGCTCAGCATAATGGTTTTGAACTTTTACATGTTGTGTGTAGCAATAGCTATTTTTATTTTTAGTATTCCACTATATGGCGTTTGCATGAAATTTTGATGGATATGGTTTTTGTGGCACAAAATATTGTTTTTCTTCTACATAATATTGCATATTGTGCAACATAATGTTATAATGTTTGCTTTTAAAATGTTTTAAAGATATTTAAAAAATTTTAAAAATAATTTACCATTTTTAATGTTACTTATTGCTTTGTGTTAGTCTTTCCTTCAGTCTGAAGAATTTTCACATTTCTTACAATGCAGGGCTATTGATGGCAACTCTTCTTAACTTTTGGTTGTCTGAAAAACCCCATTGGATTTGGAAGTGTGTTTTCATTGGATATACGCAGTTGGCAATTTATTTTATCTGTTATTCTTTTCAGCAATGATTTAAAGATGCTCCATTTTCTTCTTGCATTTTATTTTTATCAAGAACTCAGTGATAATTCTTTTTTTCCTTAAATATATTTTATTGGTTTCAGAGAGGAAAGGAGAAGGAGAGTGAGATAGAAACAACAACAATGATGAGAGAGAATCACTGATTGGCTGCCTCCCACAAGGCCCCCACTGGGATCGAACCCATAACCTGGGTATGTGTCCTGATCAGGAATTAAACCCCTACCTCCTGGTTCATAGGTCAACACTCAATTACTGAGCCACATCGGCCGGGCAGTGATAATTATTATCTTCTCTCATTTAATTTTTCTCCCTCTGATTTTAAGACCCCCTCCCCCTCACCCCCCTCCCACTTTATTATTGACGGAAAGTTTTACTCACTGGATTTTGATGTGCCTTTTATGGTTTTGTGTTAATTTTGCTTAAGGTTTAACATCTTGGAAAGTTTTCATCATAAATGGTTTTCCTCCCATTTGGGAAATGTTTGGACCTTTAATTTATTTTTTTCTAACACATTCCCTCTTTCTCTCCTGTCTTTCCAGGACACAATTGCATAGATGTTACACACTTAGTAATATTATTCTATAATATAGTTCACTGAAGGTTTTTTTCTTTTTTCTTTTTGTGGTTGTTCACTGTGTGTTTTTCTCTCCTGTCAATTTGATGGTTTTTATTGTTATGTCTGTAGGTTTATTGATCATATTTTATGCAGTATCTAATCTGATATAAATCTCATTCAAATAAATTGGTCATTTCTGACATGGTATTTTTCAGCTGTAGAAGTTCCATTTAAAAGTATAATATTATTTTCTTCTTAGGTTTATGTTTCTCTCTCTCCTTGGTCATATTTCTAATAATGATTTTAAATCCATTACCATTTTCATTTCTAGGTCTACTTCTGGTAGTCAATTTTTCTTCTGGTTATGGATCACATTTTTCTGTTCTTTTTTGCATATATAGTAATTTTTGATTGGATGTTGAATATTTTTATGTTGTTGAATGTCTGGATTTTTTGGGGGGGATTTTTTCCTCTAAATAACAGGTTAGTAGGCAAGCAAGTTTATTTAAAGATTTAGTACTTTTGAAGTATTACTAAGGGTTGAAATGTAGTGTTTACTCTATGGCTAGTATAATATAATCCTACTACTAAGACCTGACTGAGATCTTTCTTGAATGTCTTGGTGTTCATGAAGCCTCGACATTCTGCCTGGTGAGAACTTTAATGGAGTTCCACTCTACACATGTACAACTTAGTTCTCAGAAACAGATTCACAGGGACCCCTATACAGTTTTCTTGGTCTCTTTTTCTACATAGTTTCCTTCTTGTCAATACTGTGTTTCACAAATTTCCAGCTGCCTTAGTGTCCCTGGACTCACATCTTCATTTTCTCAATCTCATGAAACCACTGTGCTCTGCAGAGCTTCCCTTCTCTGAGTTACAGACTGGAAAGTGCCCCTTGGGGGAAATTAGGTTGATTATAGGACCTACTTTGTTTTTAATTTCTCAGGGGTCATCATTTTATGCTGCCTATTGTCCATTGTCTGAAAACCCTTGCTTCATATTTTGTTGTCCAATTTTCTAGTTGTTTCCGTCAAGAAAGTCTGTAAGAGTTACTCCAACATGATCAGAAGCAGAAACTTTTCTAATTCTCCTAACTATAAACCCACCACTTCCAGACATAATCAGATCTTATCAAACTTCGTGTCCTGAAAATTTTTTATGTTTATATATACAGAAATAAAAACAAAATGCAAACACAACTCTCATGTGTAAAACCAAGTTACTGGAAAGAACAAACAAATTGTAACTTTTTTGCATTTCTCAGCATCTTTTTCCCTCCAGAATTTTTTTTTATTTGCTGATTTGTATATATATTTTTTCTCTAGTGAATCATTGAGATCTATGCTTATATTTCTGTACTCATATCTATATCTATTT